CTGTATCATTTGTGCTTAGCTAATTGCACAATTGCTTACGAAAGCAATCAACAATGATGTTGGCAAATATAACTGAATAAATGTATGTACATATATTTACAAACATATGTATTAACACGTATTTGCGCCATGGCATTTTTATTCGTCTCTATTGAACGAGTATACAAAAGTAAGCGAGAATCATTTCAAAGCCAAGCACAATCATCTCCTTTATCCTCGCATTGATTAAGGTGGCAGCAGCAATTACGACAAGTTAAATTTTGAGCTGATTGCCCCTTACAAAGCGGTTACGAAAAATCTCTTTAGTTCTCATGGGATGAGTCCACCCAGTTGGTGGTAAAGTAGCTTGGAAAATTGCCGGCGGCGAAACCTTAACGTGTGTGTGCGAGCCTTCCTGCTCTGGTTTGTGCGTTTATATTAATATTTATGTATGAGTGTATGAGTGTGTGAGTGCTTATATGACATTGGTGAATGAGCCGGTTGGTTTGTCGGTTGTTTCCATGTTGGTGACAAATTTGATATTTCAGCACAGACAAGAAATGAAAGGCGGAACGTGACGCAGTCCCGCTATTAATAGATTTTGAGGTTTATTTTTTAGATATTGATTTTCTTGAAACATTTAAAGTAATATTTACTTTTCTAACACAGAATAAATAATCAGCAATACAAATTATTTACTGTCGTAAAGATTTTTTTTGTCTTTTTAAAAAAAAGTCTAAATTCGATTTGTAGATTGCGGAATTTTTTCAGATATAAATTGAAATTGACATTTCGTGCATATATGTATATATATGTATGTATATAATATATATATGTAGGTTCTATAGGTGACAGACAGACATTACTAAATAAAAATACACGCCAAGAGCGACTTGTAGAAAAGGTAAACCGCAGAGATAAAAGCCTCTACGGCATAAATGAAATAGTAAAATTTGTTCGTAAAGCGAGTTGAACGATGTGAAAAGGGTCACATCTACATGCTTGTCAAATTTATTATCTTTCAATCAAATCCCACATAAGGATTTAACAGAATCAAAAAAAAATAAAATAACGGTATTTTATCGTCTTTTGGGTTTTTTTCTCAATAATTTCGTTAAACGCTTGCAAACATTTTTTACTCCCTAGATAATTGCGAAATGTATGCTGTTACTACGTTAAGTGGACCATAAAGGAATAATTTTTTTACGGAAAAATATAATTGCTCAAAGCTTTGCTTGTTGCTTTTTATTAATTCGCTGTAGGAAGAGGTGGGAGATTGCTATTAAATTTGCCGATTTTTGTCTTTTAACTTTCTCTTCTCCAACATTTACTGTTCTCTTGAATATATTTTTATATTTAATTAAGGCTCCTACAAAATGCATATAAATGCCAATTCTTGCTCGGCTCTTGCCATTGTAAAGTAGTTATGCATGCGTGTATGTACATATGTATGTTGTATGTATGTGTGTATATAAATATTATGTAGGATACAAATGGAACACTGTTGTCTCAACTTAGTTGGCGCACTTCCGACTGTCTATCAAAGTCTGCGCATGCAAATGTTCTTGAGTAACTGTATAAATGCCCGTATATATGTACATGTACATACAGTATTTTTATATTATATTGTATAAAAATGCTCATGGTGCTCAATACTAAAATAATTACACATTTATGCATAATAAATAAAATATAATGTAATGTCCTATATGAAGATCTGCACATGTACTCGTACATTCAGACATATGTAAGTACATACATATGAGTGCGTGGTGTTGCACATCTTCTTCAACATATTGCCAATTAATTTTTCGAAGCTCATATGCACGTACACGCACATGTGCACATGTGTATGTACATGTGTAGGTTCGGCAACACATTAAGCCCTTCATTTTACACTTGACAATAATGGATCCGGAAAACGAATTACAATTACTCATATTTGCAAGAATGTATGTAGTTAATGTGAGAAAAGCACAACTTTTACGCTGAATTTAATATATTAATTTTTGTATTTAAAATCAATTAATAAGCGATTTTCTTTCGCTCACGCAAATGTCATTTACCTTATTTCGTTTAAATTTATGCGCGTAAATTACATTAAATTGTGAAACTTCTAAGGACCAATAACAGTGTCGCTAGTAGTTTAAAACCCTCGTACATACATATATGCATACCAGATATAAGCTTAAGCTAGTACTAAGCAGAGATTTCTAAGTATATGTATGTATATAATTAATTTGGCAACAGTGCTTAGACGTACAACAGGTATAATTCTGATGAGAAATGCTTTATGTTTGTTTGTAAATGATGCGGACAATAATTCATCGCGTCAATATGTATGTACGCCTCTAATATCTAACACAATATATGCATATATAATATATTTGGTGCTTTGTAACCGCTGAAGCGATTCCAATTCGGGGTGGGGCTGGTATGGTGGTGATTTCAAAGACCCCACACGCGTAAAATTTTATATAACGCTTTTAACGCTTTGGTTCATTCAAGGCTAGAGTATTCCAGTTTAATTTTAAATCCAAATTATTCTATGCACTCCTCTATACTTGAAACCCTCCAGCGTAGTTTTATTCGTATCGCTCTTGCTCCGCTTCATTTATCTAATCCTCTACTTTCTTATACTTTCGATGTATGCTAATAAATCTGAAATCTCTTCCCCTTCGACGATCCCGGCAGTCATTACTATCTATTTGTGACATCTTCAATGACTTATTGCACTATCCAGAGCTACTTCAGCAAATCAGCTTCAATGTTCCTCATAGAACTTTAGGACATTGTTTGTTCTATTTAGATGTAATTAAAGCCAATTATTATAATTACGATCCCATTCTTAGATTATTCTCAGAGTTTAATAGAATCTCTAGAAGAGTTGGTCTTGATTTCGCCTTACCGAGATCTCGTTTTGGCTCTGTCCTTAATGCTTTTTATTCTTAGTATACATTACATATATATAATTTTAAGATTTTAATTAATTTGTATTTCTAGTCTGTAAGATTTGTAAATCATTCACTGAATAAAAAAAAAAAAATTGAAAAATTGAAATTATTTTGGTGATAAATTTGTACGATCTGGAATCGTAAGAGGAGCCTTGGAATCCAGAGCAGGATTTCTCTTGTCAACAGGTGCTACTTTGGACTGAGTAGGCCATTTAAAAACGAAGTCCTCTTACGATGAGTAAAACTAAACTCTAAGCCCTGACAACTAATATTCATCAATTCGGATTGAATTAAATTTTATAGATTTCAAACTTTTAATTTGCCACTTATTAGTAAGGAGGCAAGATTAACTTTCCAAATAATAACAGCTTGAGTTATTCATGTCAACAGAGCCTTTTGTGATGTACTAAATATTATAACAACTATGTAATGTGAGTCCTTGTGCAAAGTGTAGCTTACAGTTTTGGTCGTGAAATGACGCTTTTTGAAATTTAATATCCCGTGTCACCACGCAGTTTGCTTAGAGCTTTATGCGCTTTGATATTAAAATTGCATTTTTTTTTATTTATCAGCTTGTTTTCATTGTAAGGCATTATTTTTAAAAGCTATACAGTAATAACACTTTTATTTTTTCTAAGAGTACAGTTATTTATTTAAGTATATGTCAAAAGCTTAAAATTTTGAATATTGAAAGTTAATTGTGAAAAAGCATTTACAATGATATAATATTTATTTAAAAATAAATATGTCTTCGATCAAAATACTTTGAAAAACTGAAAAAAATTAGAAGAAGAACTTTTTCTTAACCACACGAACTGGGTTTCACCATAATTCCGCACTTTCAAATTAACCCCAGAGCAGAGATGTTCAACTAAAAAAAAATTAACTTAACGAAATGATTTTGTTTAGTTTTGGCGCCTTGTTATTGAAACGATGCTTATGTTAATAAACAAAATTATACATTCTGGAGAGATGATAATCACAAGTCATTACATCAATAAAAAGTCATTTTTTCGTGTGCTCTTAGGCAGAGGGAATTTTTGGTCCATATTTCTTCAGATATGAAGCCGGCAGTAGAGAACACATAAGAGCAATGGTTAACAACTATTTCCTACATTTAGAGAGGATGCTAATAAAAGAGCGCTACAAGCCATACGGCCAACGTGATCTCACGTCGTGGACTATTTTTTGTGGAGTTATATGAAGCCGCTTGCAAACGCAGATAAGCCCAAGACGACTGACGTCTTGTAAGAGAGCATTCGGCGCGTTAGTGCTGACATACGGACCCAATCACTTCAAAAAGTTGACGAAAATTGGGCTGGAATCCCAGCTGGATGTTATTCGGTCAGCCGCCTGAATTCATTTTTAAAAGATAAGGGCAAATCCTTATCATCTGAATGAGGCTAAATTCTTGTACATAACATGAATTTAAGCGATTTATTTCTTCTAGAAAACCATCCGCCAAAAGTAACACTGCATCTACTAAATTTCGTTCATAGAAATTTTAAAAACACTCCTCGAAAGTGCGCCGATTAAATCCATATTCGGGCAATAATAAATGCTTGTTGAACAAACCATTTTAGGCCGATATCAGTGTGTTCGAAGCAAGCTAAGGCGTTACCATAATAAAAAATTTTAAAATTTAAAAAAGAGATAATAAAAACCTATATATTCTACTTATTTGCATGCTTGTGTGTATACGTGTATGTTCGTTAACGCGATGAAGCGTTTAATTTGGGTGTCGTTATTTATCTTTTATTAAATGAAAATTAATTTATTATGTGTTTGGCTGAAATTTGAAGCCAGACAACCTTTCAGGATTATTAATTGATTTAAGGACAAGTGAGTTCAAACTTACTTGCCTTTTGCAAAAGTACAACGAAACAGTTAAAAAAGTAATTTTCCAACAGCCTATATACATACATATATACACGTATGTGTGTATATTTATTTAAGTCAATTACGCAACTGTTTAGTTATGTCAAGAATAGTTACGCTGCTAGAATGTCAAAGTATTTAAACACTTGTAATTAATTGCTGTTTCACAGCGTCCCGAAGCGGACCTACCACGGTTCGTTGCTGTGGCTGTGCCTAATCCAAAGAGTGAATGAAAGTTGCAGCGCCTGCCAGGAAAACTTAGTTATTTTTGCAAAGCACAATTTAGCTTTATTTTTTTTAATGGAATTCACTTTTCAACACAAACTCGTATTTATTCTGACACAAATAAGGATGCACGCACAATTCGGATCAAGACGTACAACCGACGGTAGCGAAATTCAATTTGTTGTTATTGTTTATTTTAAATACTTTTTTGTACGTGGCGTTATTTGATTTGAAAATTAAAAACACAGGCTGCACACCGGTTTCAGGGCTTCACTGACTAGCACGTTGACTACTGCTTGAACAGGCACACGCGTGCGGCTTAAGTGAGACAAACGTGGCTTGACTGCAATCAATTTGAATTTTAAACTTTGCGAATCAATTAGTCGCTGTTTGCTTTAAAGATCTTTGCACCAAACTTATTTCACTGACTAAAATCTCTTTACCTAATCGGTGCGCGTCTAATGTACGAACGTGGCGGCACGTGAAATATTTGTCGTTACTTTGCTATGCGTTCGAATTTGGCTTAAATGAAATGCTGCTGCTATTTGTGGAGACCAATGCAACAGGCTGACGGTGTATAAGCAACTCAGGACAAATTGCGAACTGTTGCTGGTTTTTATAATCCGTGCGGCGTGCGACAAAAGCGCGAAGGTGGTTTGCTATTCGAAAGTGCGTTCGGAATCGTGCTGCTTCGCTACACCTCGCATTGCCTCGTGGCTCGTAAGCGGTGCCCTAGCATGCTGATGCGTGTGCGGATGCGGATACGGGGATGGTGTTAATGCTGGCATTGGTCGCTAGTTTTAGCCTCCTCGTCGGGTCTTGTCTGTTGCTACTGCTGTACGTGAGCATGCGTACAACCGAAGCCATCCCATTCACCAACATTCATTAACCAACATGGTTAGAAGACAAATTGGTAACTACAGCAGACTGTTGCATGCAACAGGGCACAATGCAGCGGAATTCCAGCTTGAAATAACGTTACGCAAATGTTTTTTTTTTTTTTTAAATTAATTCTTGCAGCGGCAAAGAAGTATGCGCTTTGTTTCAAAATAACGGTTGTGAGTTGGATGGCGTGCAATGAGGGCGCGTAAAAATACTTAATTTGTATTTATTTTAGCGGGTGGGCGGCCAAATGAGTCGTAATAAGAGTGTTAAAAGATAGTAAAAGCAATTAATACCAGTTCTAAGTTTTTTTCTTATACTATTCTTGTTGTTGTTGTATAATTCTTTTAATTTTAAAGCACCTCAAAAACAATTAAATTGGTGTCATATGGAAGTAATGACATTCAAAGGTTGAGCCATTGATGCATATTGACATTTTCGATTATCCATCGCTCAAGCATATAATCTGCGTACAACGCACATATGTGTATGTACGAGTACATATACATACAGTGTGTGCTTGTGTGTTCAGGAATACTTTGTTTAATTTATTATTAAAAATTTTAATTTATCCACATTTCGCAACACAACCAAACAAAGCAAACTTTCAATTTTCACACACAATTAAGTTGCCCCCCCCCCCCCCCCTCTCAATCGGGTTTTTGCAGTGCGAAGTTACTTATACGCACTGCTGACCGGACAGTCTGGGCGAAAGGCGGTAGGCTCCCCCGCGCTATGGAAAAATCACCCATATTGTGGCGAGTTTTTAATTACTTTGCTGTCAGCTAGCATTTCGTCATTTCTCTTCGTATATTTTAATGCTTCATCAGAGTGCAATTCTTGTTTTATAGCATCTGTGACATTAATAACGTAGCTGTCAAAATCGCTACTGTAATTGGTTAAAGATTCACTGTCTGTCGCCCATGATGACAACGGGCACGCATAAAAGCGGCCTGAGCTATTAAAATCTTTACGCTATTTGGGTTTTTCTACAATAATAGCTTAATCTTGAAATTCACAAATTTACGAGTTTACAATGTTTCTACGCCCACTCTGTATGGAAATTTATTGTGTTTCTCGCTTTGCTATGCTTGTTAATTAAGTACAAATAGTTGATATCAAATGAACGCATGAAATGAAATTAGATTTTATCACTAATAATACATTAATGTTTAATGCTTTTATGTAAGTACAGGGTCATCCTTTTTGCGGGTAAATACACGTAAATAAAACGCAAAACGCAAATAATTTCTTCATGAAATTCCTATTTGATTATAAAGTTTGAACCTTGGCATTATCACATCACTCGAATGACCGTCCTGCGAATTTTCGTAAACTTCAATCCGTTTGGGATAATTTTCGACTACTTTTGGAACATATTGGGTGGTATCATAGCCATAGTTTGACGAATGTTGGTTTGCAAGTGCTCAGGAGTTAAAAGCTTATAAAGGCTTATGCGTCCAACGGAGTCAAATCGCTCAATGGCTAATTGCTGTCCAATGCTTGCTTTTCAACAACCAATAGACGGATGTACTGTGTTGTGAGTGGTCAGCTGGATTTTGTTATTGTACAAAGTGGACTTTATATTGGATATAGGTTTGAAGTGTTGTAAGTGTACCGTAAGAAAGTCCCAGCTCTTGACAGCGTCGGGAATTAAACACATACTCTTATTTACAGTAGCTAAATCGATGGTTCTGTCCATAAATTTATACACGTATAAGGGATAATAAAGGCTGAAGGTTGAACGTAAGGCCTAAAAACTTAATAAAAAACTTATATATACAGATACTTATAGATACAGATGCTGGTCTAAAACTTGTATTACGATACAAAAATTATTTTTTTTTGCATACATACATATATAGAGTTATCATTGGCCTAAAGCGGTAAGGGAAAGCTTCAAAGAACCATGGCATGCTATGCAAATGATTTTGCCTCGTGTTTGAGTTTCAAGCAGCATATAAACCGCCTGAAGAGTTGCCTTGAATTTTAGAAAGAAAACCCAAAAAAAGTTAGTTGTTCATTAGAGGCACTTGGTGTTGATCATATTGAAAACTCAAGCATAACCCTCGAGCAATGTAAAAATTGACGATACAGATAAATAAAAATGATTGACAACTTGAAATTATACTGTACTGAACTTTTTATTGACTACCTCAGGCTGACATCTAGCGAACTGCTAATAGACATGCGCCACTATTGGTAATGGATTTCATGCACATACATATGTAAGGTTCGTTGTTCCCATTGTTAAGGCTGCAACTGTCATAAAGTCATTTCGAGACCATTATCCCCGCGGTCTTACAGGCAGTTAGCCTATTCGATATCGATGATTCAGGTCCATCATTCTGCTCCCTAATTAGTTTCATTAACCCCTCTACATTTCTTCTACTACAGTCGTCAGTTCCATTTCAGGATGACACTTTCGACAATGCCATTCACTATTTCGTTCTTTCAGATTGCCTTTGTGATCTGTATTTACCTTAGACCTATACGTAGTTAGCTGTGTTGATCAGCTCAATAGCTTTCCTTAGCACGAAGGAAGCTGAGGAGTTACTCAGTCATCTTAGTGATGATATATGTATGCTTTTTAATGATGTCGTCCCTAGGGCATGTTAACTCCTCCCATTGCGTTTTTGACTTGAAATAAAAATCCTTCAGTCGTTAGAATCAGCTTAAAATGAGCTTTGAGTCTTTCTCTTTTTTTTCGAAAAATACATAAAAACGAATATCAATATTTTCATGAAATATAAAACCAAAATTTTGATATCAAATCAATTAAACAACACATTTTCTGGTATAAGTTCAGGGACGACAAAACTTATTTTTCAATTGTCGTATTTTTTATCTTTTAAGTGATGTTTTTAGTAAATAAACTACATTCTCAGTCTATTATACATAATAATTCCCGTACAAAAAAGACAACTATATTTTGCAGTTAATATGTATACCCTTCATCATCGCACAAAATCTTTCGGTTTTTAAATTACATAAGAGAAGAAGTCAAGGGCATGGGTATGAGGGGAGTGAAATTATCTTTATTGCAAATTACTCAATCCGCAGAAGTTTTTTGTTTACCATCTAGAAGCTAAGGATTGTTGAAAAAGTTTTCCTCTTTATATATGTATGTACAGTATTTATGCACAAGTATGAGTATATTGAAATTTATGGACAAACTTGGCTTAGTTCAAAATTCATAATGCAATAAAATGAATTCGCTGTACTATGTTTGAGCTAAATACTAATATCAACAATAACTACTTCTTTCTCGGAACATAGTTTGGTGGTAAGAGGATCATACTGAATATACGAAATATAAAAAAAATATAACCGCAAAAAGGCCAAAAAATAATTATGCAATTTCGCCGATTGATTTACCAATTGGGTACACTGCATTAGTCGTGAAACACACCTACCGCGAAAGGAGGTTTTCGCTAGAGTGACAGTCCTTCCGGTATAAGGATCCGGATTTTATTAGAAAAATTAGTTTCCTCTAATTTTGGATTTTGGCCGAACCAAGGCTTACACCCTAGTCTTCAGAATGGCAGTACGCAATGCTAGCCACTCTCTAGCGATCTCAGCAGCTTTTCCTATAGCCTGGTATAACCTTTCCAGTCATCTGCGGGGCAGGGCTCTACTCTGCGATATTGACTGGTGGTAGGTCAAGTAAACTTTCAATAGCAGCCCTTCGGGTGACTCTTAGCAACTGTTATGCACAGTGCAGCCGTGATTCGCTGTAGTCACTGCTATGCGGGATTTTATTGGCAGCGGTCCATCACACCAGAGCGTCGTAGAGAATTATCGACTTAACTACCTCTGGGTAACACCAATTCATGAAGCCAAAGGATAGGCTCAATGTGATACCCAGCATCCTTTTACATGCGTAATGGGTAATACTCACTCTTCCCTCTACACTTAGCCTCCACTTCAGTTTGCTATCCAAATTTACTCCCAGGCACTTGGGGTGTTCCCTTGGGAATATACCTGCGGGTATTATTTATCTTCTTGTGAGCAGCTGATGTCGCTCATCGATGTACAACCCTTGGAGAGTAAACACGTTGGATATGATATATCCTGAAATTACGTCATAGTTCTGTTCATGTCCACTGAATTATCCGCTGTTTGTTAAATTTTGTCTTTCAAATTGTGCTTGTTGTCTCGTGGGAGGCAAAAGCTGCAATTCAAAATTTTTCTTCTATTCATTCATAAATATATTCTTGGGTGCATGCATATATCTTATATATATACTCGCACATACATATGTATATTAATTATGGTATGTACATATGTACTATATTCAGCTGAACTCCTGGTTCTTGTGCTCAAAATCACTTTTAGTCTTTCGTCGAAAACCTCTTTTATCTGCCTTTAACCCAATTATTGTAGGAGACAATTACAACTTAGCCCATAGTCATGAGCATAATATGTATGCATGTTCATATATGCACCATTTATGTGAATGATGGTATACACCATTCATGAGGGAGAACTCCAAAATTGGTTGCACCAGATGGTTTATTTCTTTTTTCTGTCCTAGACTACAAGTGGCTATTTTTAACACAGCAACAAAATATATTGACAATTAATGGCAACACTGATCTACAACACTTCTCAATACCCTTCAACAAATTGAAACGGAACCGTCAAAATAACGAATCTGATGACACTATATTAGGCTTATATGCCAGTCCCTTAGAAGCCCCACATGGGAATTTGTCACATTTGATGTACGCACACACACACACACACACACATAGTGTGACGACTTCATTCGCTTATATATGTGATGCAAATGTACATGTGGGAGTGTGCGTGTCAGCCATACAATTTTTTATTTATTTTCCCACATGCCATACATACATATCTACACGTATGTACGTGTATCCCAATTGCACACGAATTCATTGCTGGAAAAGTAAGCGAATTAGTAGGAAATTGCGGGTGAACCACGAAAGAAACTTGGCGTCGAATACGATGTTAGGATTCTCTGTAACTTTGAGAATTGAATTCGTATAAGTCAGTCGTCTGCGGTACTTCAGGACTAAATTTCCTTGCACAACAAAACAAGTATGTGTTTTAGGCTTGTGGTTTTCAATGAAGCAATACTTTCTGGTCTCTTTGGCAGTTGTTACTTGATTTATATCCATTTCGGCTTGCTATTTCATAATGCAGAAACTTCTTTGGGAAAAACGTTTGCAAATCGTGTAAAATTTTTACAAAAATAATGGTTTTGCTTAGCGCGTTGCGTCCAATTTTCGCCCAGCAAATTCAGTAGTTTGAGGCTCGATCTCTCATATCGTTGGCTCTAGTGGATCATTCACGTCCATCTTGGGTCTAGGTATTGTATATGGGCTTAAAAAATCCAACTCGTGTATTTCACTCATTCTTCCTTCCGTATTTTAGTACAAAAATTTATTATTGTTAATGATTTTAGTAATTTAAAAACGTAGTCGTACGAGTATATGTGCAAAATATCCAGTTGTTGCATACAGTTTTGTTTACTTGTTTCCTTTTTAAGAGTTTTTGTGTTTGATTTTGCTGAACCCTCAAAGAGTTGAGCTGCATTGCCTCTTCACTTCCAACAGGGTTACCCATTGTATTACCATTTGGCCATACGCACACATACGTACTTTTTACTGGGTTTATACTTGTTTTCAATAAACATTTATACATTGAGGCTTTGCACAAAATATTGGTGACAAGGGAGATCTGCCAAATTTTTGATTGATGAGTTCCGCTTTACTAAGCCAGCTAGACGGGTTGGCAATAGAAGGGTTTTTGCTTTTCGTTACTATTTTCGACATTGTTGCTTTTTTGGTTTTGGAAATTATTCTTTTATAAATAAATACATATATATGTAAATATACAGATGCATATTGAAATGTTGGTCGCATTTGTGGAAAACATAGTTTACATAGCTAACTACGCTTAGATTTTACTCAAAAGAACTCAAGAAAATTCCGCTTAAAATGCAAAATCTTCAAAGCTCATTTCATATTTCACATTTCAATATCCTTCTAGAAAATCGAAGCCACAAAATGTTGTCAAGCAAGGCTAACATATATCATCGTCCTTTCAGAGAACTGTCAGAAAATACATTTTAGTTTGATTTTGTTTCAAATTTATACTGAACCGCGTTCGGGGACGCAAAACTCCGCAACATTTGCACCGGGAGACTGCAATTTCATTACGGGCTAATTCTTACTGAATTTATCCACCGCATAGAGTTGGTATGGTATTATGGTTTACGGGCAATAAAACAGCGTTTTGTTAACTTTAAAGCAGAAACCAATAAACATTATAAATGAATAGATTCTAATGAATCTGAGGAAGTAACCAGCTGGTACACAACTTTTTGGGGAAAACTCCGTAAATTTGTCTCTTTGGGAGCGTAAAACATCTAAGCTCTGTTAATTTCTCTAAATCTTTCCGATCAATTGAAAATAAGCTTCAAAGCAGTAAATGAAAATACATCTGTTATTCAAATTTGAATGAAATATCTCTAAAAGTTAAAGAAAACTAATTTAAATAATAAATTAAGTTAAATTTTCTAATTGCAGTCGCCTCTCGGCAGGGAATGTTAACCCCTCCGACTGTATTTCTGACATGAAATTAAGGCTCCTCATAAAAAATCCATCAGCTCTTCGGGAGCATCTTAATCCATTCGTTGGAAAAACATCAAATCGCAAAACCACAAATTGGAATAGGTGCTCGGCCGAAAAACCGCTTCAGCGATTACAAAACGCCAATATATGTATGTACCTGGATAAATCAACTCAACACATTATTCTTATCCAATTGTTATAAATGTTTGTGTGTCATATTGAGATAAGTATATATTACAATTATCATTTACTCAGTAGCGTGCAGAGAACTTAGAAGCAATGAGCGTAAGTATTTAATTTCGTAAATTCTAAGTTCTCTGAATTGCACCTTCTCGTTATTATACAATATATTCTCTGTTTGAGATCATTACAATTTGGGTTTTACATGGTGTGCATCTTTGGTTTTCCAATTTACACTCTTCCTGTTATTTGCAGCACTAACAGAGACCAGCCCAAGCAATATAGATGGCGCTACTAATTTTTAACGAGAAACACAATCCGCATGCTAAGACATTGCCTTCGACAAGTTTTTCGACATTTATCAATGCCAAGAACCGCTATTAATTTTTAACGAAGAATACAATCCACATGCTATGACATTGCGCAGAGAACCAGAGAACTTATAATAACTTACATATAAGTTCTCTTTTTGCGTTCGACTAATCTTTCGACATTTATCGATGGCAAGAACCGCTGCTAATTTTCTTTACGAAAGCAACCCTTCATAATTTGTAAAAGATTTTGTCGAAAGGTAGTAGATAAAAAAGGTTATTTATTTGCGTCTATTAACTGGGAAAAAACGCAATAATCTACGTCCAATCCGAGGTTAATAATATTTATGATTTATTTACATGTCAGGAAGGATTATAGTGATTAACTAAATTGCCATTTGAGCTAAATTAACGTAGAATTATTGGTGAAATATCAATTACGTGACAATTAGAAAAATAAAGCGTAGATGTGGATAATGGTAATAATAAAAGGAAAGAAGAAGGAAGAGTGAGAGAGCGGGAGAAAATGAAAGAACGCCAAAGTTGACATTTTGAAAGAGGAATAAGTAATACAGCAATTGCAGCAAAACCCACAAAAACGCCAAGAATTTTCGGAGTATAAACTAAAATTAAATAGAATTTCTGTAAAAGTACATATTTATTATTTGAAAATATAAAATGTTAATTATTTTTTCCCATTGTCGAATTATGTATAATTTTTTGTTAATTTGAAAAATTAAGTGTTGTGGAAAAAGTGGGAAAATATTGCGACTGTATTTGTAAGCAACATCGCCAAGCAGCGACGTAGCCACCGGCTAAAGGCAAAAAAGTGCTAATTAAAAAGTTAAAAAATTAAATAAAGTGGTAAAGCATATACGGTAAGAGTAATTACGACAGCGATGTCGGGTGGAAGGGAATCAAACAGCAGCAATACAAGCTCCAATAGTACTGGAGTTTCAACAACTGCGTCCTCCACGCCCACATCTTCGGGCCAAAATACCAACGGCCAAAATCAGCGCTCTCGTGGTCGGCCTGCTAAACGCGCCACTTGTACGTGGTGCGGAGAAAGTAAGCAACTATTGCAGTACGTGTTACCTACACAGAATGGCAAAAAGGAATTTTGTTCAGAAACGTGTATTGCGGAATTTAGAAAAGCTTACAATAAAGGCGCCTGTACACAGTGTGATAATGTGATACGGGAAGGAGCGCCAAACAAAGATTTTTGTTCGGTGATGTGTATGAATAAACACCAAAAAAAGAACGGTTCTACAAGACAACATAACAGTGGAGTTGGCAATGGACGTGGCGATTCGGATCGTGGCAAAATATCTTCAATCGGTGGAGGTTCATGTACGCAAACCGGTCCATTTCAGTATGAAAGCTTTCATGTTTTCGATTGGGATGCCTACTTAGAGGTATTAGTAAAATTGCTACTTGTGTTAAGAAAATTACATTTTTTTTTAAATTTTTGTAGGAAACTGGTAGCGAAGCTGCTCCTTCAGAATGCTTTAAACAAGCGCTTAATCCACCAATTAATGATTTCAAAATTGGTATGAAACTGGAGGCATTAGATCCGAGAAATGTTACATCGACATGTATTGCAAGTGTTGTGGGAGTACTAGGTTCGCGGCTGCGATTGCGCTTGGATGGTAGTGACAGTCAGAATGATTTTTGGCGCTTGGTCGACTCGAATGAGATCCATGCTATAGGGCATTGTGAGAAGAATGGCGGAATGTTGCAACCACCACTCGGCTTTCGCATGAATGCCTCCAGCTGGCCCGGTTACCTGTGCAAAATACTGAATAATGCAATGGTTGCACCGGAAGATATTTTCCAACCTGAGCCGGCAGGCCCATCGGAGAATCTCTTCAGAGTTGGCCAAAAGCTCGAGGCGGTCGACAAAAAAAATCCTCAACTGATTTGTTGTGCGACAGTTGATGCGATTAAAGACGACCAAATTCATGTGACATTCGATGGGTGGCGCGGAGCATTCGACTATTGGTGCAGCTACGACTCCCGGGATATATTTCCCGTTGGTTGGTGTGCACGTAGTTGTCATCCAATGCAACCGCCGGGTCACAAATCGCGTACCGATTCGAGTTCGAGCAAGCACCGCAGCCCTCGGCCACGCTACACCTTCGTCCAAGATACCGATCCAATGATTCCTGCGACACCGGTCACCGCACACTTCCATACAAATTGCAAAGGCGGCCCATTTATTAATAGCGGTAAACTACCATCAAAGGTCACTGGACCCACTCATCAAACCCTTGCGAAATTATGCCTCCAAGAAGTTCTTGCTGCCAGTACTGATACTCAGCAACTGTCCAAACTATTATTCGCTCTGGAAGGGGATGTTCATATTGTTCCAGCGGCAGGAAAAAATTTCACAGTAAGTAACTGTCAATTCAATGTCAATTTAAATGGGGGTCTGCTTTATTAATAAATATTATATTAATTGGATAATATTTCAATATTTCATTATCTTTCTTTATTATCAGTTATAAAATTTTTTGAAAGGAAAATTAAACGCAAACGTTCAAAAAATAGTTTTATTTTAAAAATCAGCTGGTAATTATTCGAGATTGGAATGCTGTTGTAAAAAATCAATTATTTAAAATAAAAAAAAAATATTACAGATCGATGCATGAATTGTACTTTAGTAATAAACTTTATTATCCATTGTGATCTGTACATATATATTCTTGATACCATTTTAATAAAAAAATAAGTTGATTATCATTGCGTAATATATTTAAACATAATTACACTTAGACTAAATATTTTCAAGAATTAATTAGAATCTCGATTACCCCAATTATTCTTACATCGGTATTTTTAGGTGAAAATACCATCACAGTTGCGCATGAGGGACGATGACAGTTTGGCACAATTTATTGAGACATTATGCACGACATGCAGAACATGCCCTAATCTCATATCCTTGGTACCAGCAACTGAAGAGTGTGAAAAATGTGTTATCAGTAAGAAGCGCCTATCGTCACAGAATACACCGCCCACGTCGCCAGTAATACCTGAAAAACGTAAAACACTCAGCGTGTTAAGTGACAAGCCCCATATTATCAAACAAGAAGCACCCACATCAACAACCACTTCGTCGCACATGGTGGACTCGCCATCGGCGCCAGTAATGGTTGCTGTAGCCGGTAGCATTCCGAAAACTGATGCGGAACACAAATTATCCGTCAATAATAATAACATGCTACCAGTTCAAATTAAAGTCGAACCAAATACAAATGGTACATCTTCCATTGCATCGCAAGGACATTCTTTGAGACAGATTCGACTGCATCATTTAAACAATCCAGACGACAGTAAGCCAATATCAAATACCACATCCGCTGGAGCAACTTCGACCAACTCCAATGTTAAGTATCTTGCGCCACTTGTGGCTGAGGTGCATCCAGAACAATCAAGTGTTGTCAACACTGTTATTGGTTCATCAACGTACAAATCACCTTCGACACTATCGTCGAGCGCGTCCTTACCCACATCGGTTTCCACACCATTCAGCGGTTCGCAGTCAGCTTCATCGACAGCGGCGGCTGCTGCTGGTGCGGTAGTTTTCTCCACGGGAGCACCACCACCTTCGGCGGCATCAACAATAAGTTCCGCCGCTTTACCACCTCTTCGATCACATCCCGGTGATTGGTCTATTGAAGAAGTAATACAATTCATCGAGAGCAATGATAGTTCGCTTGCTGTACACGGTGATCTATTCAGAAAACACGTAAGAAATTATAAAATGATGATACTTTTCAATAATGAATTTAATTCCTCTATTGCCTTCCATTACAGGAAATCGATGGGAAAGCATTGCTGCTTCTAAATTCAGAAATGATGATGAAGTATATGGGTCTGAAATTGGGACCAGCCTTAAAGATATGCAATTTAGTGAATAAGGTTAATGGTAGGCGTAATAATATGTCATTATAAATGTGGGTTAAAGGGAAGAAGTAGTGAAGAATTTCGAAAACGTAAGAAGCGCTAATATAAATTACGAGATGTGTAGTTGTAGGGTTTGTAGGCACTCATATATATACTCGTATATATATCCAGTTGAGAATGACTAAAACTTACATATTATATATTGGGAATGTTAGAAAAACTTACAAAGAATTGGAGAGCGCACTCCAAACGTACACAATAAAAATTGTTAGGATAATTTCCATAACATGGGTACCTTTAAATATATTTGAATTAATATACAAATAATATTAAAATTAAGTTCTGACATACACTATAAATTTGCAAGAGCAATCGGTTTTAATTTTTTACATTTCATATATTTGCTTACATATTTTTTATAATATGTATAAAACGCATTTTTATAATGAATGCTTGTATATGTGTATTTGTTTAATAAAAATAGAAAACTATAAGTAATGGAGGAAAAATAAGCAACATACATAAAAGGTGTATGGCGAAATTGTCGCAAAAGCACAACAAGGACATTAAGAATGTTATGTAAAAAGGAACCATTATTTGATTATAAAGATTTTTTTTTATAATTTATATAAAGACACATCTAAATAATTAACCTGTAATTCTTTGCACCCATAAATAAAAAATCCTTAAATTTTTAATATGTGTACATACATATATATTTTTAGATTATTTCGAATATCAAAAGAATATACTAATGATGAAAATTATAAAAGGTGAACTGTTTGTACAATATAAACAGTAATTGGAGCCACCAGATTTTTAGAAATTCATTGAGAGACGTTTTACTTCTTCACAATTATTAAAACAGTTAATGTTCCTCTTTCATCACATCTGATAAAATATCATATATGCATGTGATCACTTACATTATTGCCATTAATTCGTCATTTCATTTGTATTGAAGGCCTTGAACTTACATTAACAAAATACAAAAACTATCTGCAATATAAATAGAAAAAAATAATCATAAAAATCTGCAAATATATTCAACTTATGTACGTACATAAATAGTGCATTGAAGTTGCATTAAAATATTTCCATTACACAACCATTTAAGCGCAATATTAGAATGAATAATGCCCATTACAACTAGCAAACCACTACGTTTAAACCATTGTATATGACATCCTCACAAGGAATATTAATATATGTATACAATCAGTGAGTAAACGAGATAGTTTTTACTCAACAGAATGAAGTACATACATATGTACAATCAAATACATACATTAGCTTTATCGTAATAATAGCAATAGTTAAATGAATGCAAACAGAACAAAACCATTAAATCAATAAAACAAAAAATTATAACGTATATAATAATGGAATGCAAACAATAATTAAATAAATATACCCACATACTAGGAGAAGTGTAACAAGTAAAAATATGGATTGTTATTGCATTGTAGGTGAACCCATGCAAAACATTTTAGGGGCCCATTGATGTATGTGTGTACTTGTATACTCAAAATAACTTATGGAAATATTCCACAGCTTCCAATGGCGTTAACATTTGTTGGGCCAATGCTCAACATTTATTCATATGTACAATAGTTATGAGTTGCAAAAAATTTGTTAGAAGCAGAACGTAGTATACATATAAATACTTGTATATGCAATAAAATAATTCGGTATGGATCAATAATTATTGCTGGATATGCATATAAGAAAACAAACAAAACGACGACTTTCATTCCATTATAAGCACCTTGCTTCCGCTGATGTTCTAACCACATTTTCGCCTTTGATTCATTCTTCATAATTATCAATTTCACTTTTCAGTATCTATGGACATCTTCGTGTATTGCTTCTTTTGAAAAAGTGCAATTATGCATTGATATAAATCTGTTTCAGTTTTATTTTCCCAGTTTGTATATGACGTTCATCTAGCGCCGCGTTCGCAGGTTCTGCGTTATTTCTTATTTGCACTCGATTATTTTAATTATATTCCAGTATGAGCTGCATATTACAAGATTGACTGTAAAGTTTGATTTTATTTATGTATACAAACTTAGTTTTAAATATTAATATTATACTAATTATAACGACATCTGTATAAAATATTAATTGATATCCATTTAATAATAATTAATTAATAAGATCAAATTGAATAGAAAAGTTCATATATACATATAAACATATATATACGCAGAAAAACATATAAATTAATACCCTAAACAAATTAAATGGTAATTATGATAACGGTAATCAGGATTGTACATAATAACCTGTATTATTTGAAGAATTTAATTTAGAATAAATGAATGATATGGAATTAAAAACAAGAGAGTTTTCAGTTTCTTACCATCGCTTGCCAGATGCTCAACCATTTTTCATTTATTGTTATCTTGTATTCCGTTGGGGTCTGTAGTTACTGACCGTTTTTGAAATCCTTTCCAGAAAGATTTATCCAGAAGTCCTTAAAGGGGCTGAGTTTTGGAATTACAGTTGGCTATTATAACGTACATTAGGGTAGTGGTTAGTAGTGCATATTGTCATGCGGAGGGCCATGGGTTCGAACCATGATCAGGCCAAAATTTAATTGAAAAAGTAATCGGCTGAGAATTTTTCCTCTTCACTTCTTTATTCCATTTTTGAAAACTGGTATTAATCACTCGATGCCAGATCTGGGCTAAAGGGTTACTGCACTTACTTGACTGGCACAGACATCGCTTACGCGATTTTGGTCGATTTAACAACATTGCGAGGTTCGTTTCTTCTTTTTGCTGTTTGGCGCCAATTGGAAATTCCAAGTACAGCCAGATCCTTCTCTAACTGGTCTTTCCAACGGAGTGGAGGTCTTCCTCTTCCTTTGCTTCCACCGGCGGCAATTGTATCGAAAACTTTCAAAGCTGGAGTATTCGCATCCATCCGGACCACATGACCTAGCCAGCGTAGCCGCTACTTCTTGATTCGCTGAACTATATCAATGTCGCCGTATAACTCGTACTGCTCATCGTTCCATCGTCTGCGATATTCGCCGTTGTCAAAACGCAAAGTACCACAAATCTTACGCAAAACCTTTCTCTCGAAAACTCCTGTTCGTACCTTCTATATTCAGCTCTGCAGGTCTTATTATTCTCTCCAGCATCAAATTGAGGAAATCACACGAACGGCTTATGCAGCCGTATAAGTTTTGTGGGGATGCCAAATCCAGACATAGCGGCGTAAAGGTCGCTTCCATTCGTGGTGTCGAAGGCGGCTTTAAAATCGACGAAGCGGTGGTGTGTGTCAATCATTTTTTCATGGGCGCATGGTGAATATTTGATCAATGGTTGACTTACCAGGCCTGTAGCCACACTGATAAGATTCAGTTTGGTTACGGTGGGCTTTAGTCTTTGACACAATACGCCCGACAGAACCTTATAGGCGATACTAAGGAGGCTTATCCCACGGCATTTGGCGCGGGTATGCTTTCTCCGACCTTTTTCTGCAAAGTAGCTGATGCATACACCTTGTCAGTTCTTCTAGTTCTGCCGGAAGGCCGTCAGCTTCCGCCGCTTTGTTGTTTTTTAAGCGGGCCATTGCCCGACTTCTTCATGGTCAGGTAATGGAACGTCTTTTCTATCCTCATCGATTGATGTTTCGGATTCACCATCTCCGGATTCTCCATTTTCACTACTATTCAGCAGGTTGGAGAAGTGTTCCATCCATAAATTCAATATACTCTGGGCGTCGGTGGCTAGATCACCTCTTTGTGTCATACAAGAGTCTGCTCTGGTCTAGAAACCTTCCGTAAGTCGTCGTACCGTCGTATCAGCTTTTCAAGCTCTTCATACTCACGCATTTTGGCCTCTTTCTTTCTTGTCTGCATATGCGTTTTGCTTCCCTCTTCATCTCTCGGTATCTATTTCACCTCGCACGTGTTGTGGTCGATCGCAAGGTTGCGAGGTAGGCAGTCTATTTTCTCTACGCTGCGACCCTGCAGTCCTCATCGTATCAGCTGTTTTTGTGTCACTCACGTCAAGAACATGATCGATCTGGTTTTGTGTTTTTCGATCAGCGGACACATAATGTCGGGTGCAGCGCTCGTAAGTATGCTCTAGACGCTTATAAAAGACGTATTTGTCCAAATCATCCTTCTCTTCCGCCGGGGCGTGGGGTAGTCGATTCAAAATATCGTTGCCTAGCGTATGAAGGGCAGCCAACGCATCGAATCTGGAGGATTTTAAACAACCATATCTTAGGGCGAGCATCGTCGTGGATGAATTTTCAACCTTTTGAAGTTCTGCTTTGGTCACCTCGTTGCTCCTGCCCGGCCTCGGGTCGTCTTTAACGGATTAACTTCCTTGTGTAAATAAACTGCGCCACATGTACATCATGGGTTTTCCCGGACATGCGTTGTCTTAAACCAATAACATCTCATTCCTTATTTTTCCAACAGATATTCCTTGCTTGGTATGAAATTTTAAAACGGCGCGATACTCAATTATTTTCCATATTTCACTTTCCACTCCCGATTGTGTTGCTTGGTTGACGATAGCTGAAAGACTATATAACTGGCGCTCCTTCAAATTGTGGTTTTGTTTCTTGATGTGTTTCCCCTTGTCGAGGGGCGACCGCAATTTGAGAATTCTACTTAATTTTTTACTTAAATTAGGTTTCTACAACTTTAGGGTGTTGGTCGTACCATAATTTGAACCCTGGCCACCGACTGAGCTACAGGAGTAAATCAACACAATTTACTGCCACCACTGAAATGTCCAGCAGGTAAGTAAGATTAAATCGACCTAAAATCCCATCGAAAACTAAGTTCACTTCTGCCAGGTCAAAGATGAGAAGATGAGGGACTTCAGCTCATTGGAGATTAGAACGTGCTGAGGCATGTATGTAGGAAATAGGAACTAGGAAAGTTGGTAGCTCAGTCAAGGTGGTGCTGTGTGCGAAGCAAACAAGCAGAAGAATCAGCGACAATAATTCACAACATGGCAGCAGATTGTGGGCGCCGTTTTGGAAAATTCGAATAAGGTAGAGATCAGCATTTTTAAGAAACAAGGCAAATTTCTTAAATGAACTGTAACACAGTGTCTTCTTTAGTATTGCCAAACGATAGGAACTAAACAACGTAGCAACTGCCATTTAATTCGCTTTAATTCTTAATTCTGTTAATCGTTCTATAGTCTCGGTGTTCGTCGTTGTTAGTAAGAAAACGTCCTTAAATATATTTATCGCCACCGCATCATGTAACAGAAAAAGAAAGAGTGATCTGAGGAGCTTGGAAAAAGGAAGTCTCTACAACTTCAAAGCTATGACTGCTAACACTGGTAGATATTTCGCTCACTACCCCACCAATTCCCTTCACTTCGTTGCATATATATGTAATGTGCATAAAGCAGAGCTAAATACGCAGTTGTTGAGGTTGATAATGTCAATGTCATCAGCACGCACCAGCAGTTGTACTTCACTCATGTGGAATACTGAACTTTTATTATTTGGCTCAGCTTAGTTTAGTTTATACAGTTACATGAAAAAGGTTCATGGTCCGAAACCCTGTTTAGTATCGGAAGGCCAGATAGGTGCATACCGATTTGGACGTAAATATCGGGTCCTCCGCGTGTATTTCTGAGGTGAATTTGCGTATAAGCAAATTTGAATGCCAAGTGCTTTTTTCAAACCATAAGCTGTAATTTAATCAACTTTCTTCTTGTTTGTTT